CACACAGACTATAACTTAAAAGAAGAGTGAGAGTCCAGAAAGTGGATGGTGGCATTTGTTGAGTGATTTGGAAGGTGAGCAACTTGGATTAGGAAGTTTCAGGACCTGGAAAGACGAACAAATTTAAAACGCCATCCTAGAGGAGCAGATTCTCTCTTTTTTTCTGCCAATACATCCTGACTATCACTTGCTCACCAGCCTAAATACTCAGTTGGACATTCTCTAATTCCTCAGTCCCTGGGTATCCAGCTTAAGACTTGTGGCCAGCAGTGAATACAGTGGCTGTGCTTTAATCATACAGGTCTATGTGAAGTAAGCTGAAAAATCAGGCGTTAGATACCTTCAAACTGGATGCCCAAAATTAGCAGAACAATTCATCAATTTTGGCCCTACTGTCATCTGTCATGTCTCAACCATAATATTGGAATAAATGAAAGCTCAAACTATCCCACACTTGAAATTTAGTAATGCACTGCAATGAGACCATTATGGGAACTTCCAAAACAGTTTAATTCATTACAAGGTGTGGATATAGTTTACTAGATATTGCATGAATGCACAGAATCAGAGAGGAGGGTCAAATGAACAAATAATTACTTTCTGAGAAGGACAGAGGCACAACAAGTGAAACATGATCATACAATCAAATGCATAAAGGGGCTAAACCAATCTACTCAGGAACTGGTCAGCATTTCTTGAATTTTGGACGCTTGTCTTTCCCACCATTATGTTCCACTGCTGTTATTGCACAAGGTCATTTCCCAACAAAGAAATAAAAGCCCTGAATATACCTAAAATTTCACTGTTTCTTGAATTCTCACTTCAAGACATCAATAATGTTCAGCTTGACAAACAGATCTCTGCCACAGAGGTGCTGCCAGAGGAATATTAACCAATTCTGGGAACTGCAGCCAAAGAGCTGGTGAGGACTGTTTCCTTCTTGGTCTCCTCCATTCCTCCCCTCATTCAGACAGAGGTCTTTAGGTCCCAGCTTAAGCAAGATAAACAAGCCATATCCAAATGATGGAGAAAGTAAACAGTGCAGAAATTCCTGGGATTTTTTTTTTTTTAATAGACAGTTATATCCTTGCAGAACAGCTTTAACTACAGCCCCCTTTGCAGGCATTTGAGCTAAGTGATTCTTAGTAGTTTCAGGCTGTCCCCATGCCTGTGGACCAACTGCTACAGGGGAACTTGATGCACTTTGTCAGGGAATTTCAAAATTTGTGCTGAAGTGCAGAAACATACAGGCCAAGAAGATACTCTAATTCTGTTCCATGTTGTTACAGTTGAAAATGTCTGTGCTCATAACCTGCTCCAGTCCTTCCCAAATATCAAATTCTTTCCCCAATCCAGCAGGTTCTCAACAAAGCATTTTGGTAAAATGGTTGAATGAATTAAACGCTGCTAAAACAAAATATTTTTTCTCAGACTTCTACAAAAAGGGCCAAAATATTTTGGCTAAACTTTGCCCCAAAAGTCTGCACAGGAAGAGAATTATGAGGAAATGTTTGAGACCCAACGGCAACAATTTGGCAAAGTAGAAAAAAGCAAACCCAGAGTATATATTACAATAGAAAACGATATGCTTAACATGAGGTACAATCATCACAACTTGTAATAGTGCAAAGAGATTTGTAATTAAAAATGAACTTTTGTACACATTTTATGTTTGTCTACATTGACGGTTTGTTGTCTAACAGCTCTCTGTGAGACCTCTGGCAAACTCCACTTTCACAAAAACCAACCAAACAAACAAAAAAACCCACCAAAAAAAAAAAAAAAAGAGGAAAGAGGATCAGTATTGTCCTCTATACTGTCCAGGTTTTGTTAGCTGTCCAGAGCAGTTGTTTTATAAGTCACCTTTAATTATTGAATTCTTTCTTCTCCAACATTTCTATTTTTAAAATATTTTCAGTGCACCACGATTTCAGACTCAGGGAAACATAAAACAAATGCAGTCCATGTAACATGTACATTATTGCAGAATGAGCAATACAAAATCCAATATTTCATCCTTCACAGGAGACTATGCATTGTTCACTTGGCAATAAAGTGTATAAATTACACTTTGATTTTCTTGTTTCACTTCTCTTTACCATGCCTGGTGTGCTGATGTGTCAAGAGAATTTGCCTTTTTGAAGTTTCGCTGACAGCGTTACAGAACCATTTTCTCTGGAGCGCCCTTCTGAAACTTGTTTTTTGAAACCCTTTGTATACTATACCAATTTTGCTATCTCTGCAAAAAATATTACTCGCCTGAGGGCTTTTCTTCTTCTTTCAGTCATGCTGCCAGGGGGCTGATTGTTTCTGATTGCTAAAGTCAAAACTCCCTGGAAATGGACTATTCAAGCTGAAGAGCATTTCACATGAGCACGGCAGGTTTTCCAGTCACCTTACTTGTCTATATTATTTAGTAACACGGGTACTATATGGTGGAGATTATAAAATCATTTGAGCTGGCTGCACTGACAACCTGGGCAGAAAAATAATTCCATTGCTTGAGATTCTGGAATGTCAATCATAGAATAATGCATTTGACCACTTAGTGAAAGTCCAGCATAAATGAGAGATGTACATACAGATGACATTCATAGATAGATCTCTAAACGCCAAGGTATCAGTGCCAGAATTTCTCACAAGTCATTTAACCAAATTTTCTTGTTTTCACTATGCAACTGGAAAAAAGATTCTATGTTAAACTTGATGGGAAGACTACTGGAAATCCTTTGTGCATTTACAATGTAAGATTATATCCATTAGACATCAAAATGTCCACTGCATCATTTGTATCATTTTCTCTCCTGTGAAGAATTGCTCCTACATTGTATTATCTATTGTTTCACTGCCTCAGGCAAGAGGGTTTCATCTGTTTCCTTTCTACAGCCTGAAATGTGCATATATAGTATAATACACGGAGGTGTCTGAAATTAAGACAGCATTACTGATCTGAGCGAATTCAAGAGTGAGTGTAAAGATGATGAGTAAAGTATGCCATGCCATTGACTTCCAATTATACTTTTACTCTCTTTTACCATTTATCAGAGCCTCAGCACATGAATGGTGTCCCCCCCCCCTTTTTTTTCTTTTTTTTTTTTTTTTTTAATATGCTAGTTCTGAATTATTTGTTTAACCTTACAAAAACTTGTGGACTTTGAAACAGAGCAGCTGGCTGCTATCTGCTGGCAACTTATATGTTTAATAAATTATTCCCTGTATTTAAAGGATAATGATGTTCTTGGGCTAGGCACAGTGTGGGCTGCATGATGTGAGGCTAGAAAAGAAAGGGGTAAAGGCAACCTCTTCCTGTACCAGCACTGAGCCAGTGCTGCAGCCAACACCTGGGACTGCCTGAGCAAGCTGATTTTGAGATTCCTTATGTGGGTCAAAATCTGAAAGAATTGTAGAAAACTAGAGCTAGAAGAGACTGTAAAAAATTATGCAGTCAGCCCCTCTTCCCTAAGCAAGAGTTCCTTGAGGTGTGCCATTACTGACACATGTTTCTAGCCTATTCTTATAAACCTTGAACACAGAGGCGCTACACATTCCCCAGGCAACCTTTTCCAGAACGTCACTATTCCCAGTATTGAGAAGTCTAACCGCGTTCAGCACTGTTGTGATCAGCTCATTATTGCTTTTCCTATATATCCATAATACAGAGAGAATAGCTCGTTCAATTCTTTCTTGTGACAGGTTTTTACACACTCATAGACACTTCACATCTTCACTCATACATCCCTCCTTCCAACTAAACAACCCAAATCTTTCCCTTCTTCCCTTAAGCCAGGAACCTCTCATCATTTTCCTGTTTTACTGCTGGATCCTCTCTTGAAAGAAAATATACTTGAAAAATGTTTATTACACTTGAAAAACTATAATATATGGTTTCTGATAGAAAAGGTTGACGCAATTACAAGTTCCATGATAGAATGTTTAACTGGCACAACAAAACCTCCGAAGTGAAATACCCTGAAAAAAGTTCATAAATGCTAACGCAGCAGCAATGGGTGTCAACCTCATTCAGCAAGATATCCTAGTCATTTCACAGTTGAAGTAAAACTGATTAATCATGCATTAAACCAGAGGGAAGGAAATAGAAAGAATCACATCAAAGACAGAAAAAGGTAGACTAGACTGAAAGAAGATTTTTGAGTTGGACAAAAACATTCTGGGGGACAGGAAGGAAAAAACATGAGCTAGGAAGAGAACACCAGGTAAAACAAACAAGTGGAAGATAATACAGTTGCAGAAATGTACCCACAAGTCTATGGAAAGAGTTATCAAAACATCCGTGACTGCCAAAACTCCTGAAAAGTAAAATTATAAGTATAATAAAATAAAAATCAGGAAAAAGCCCCAGACAGATAGCATAAAGGTACAGATGAGAAAGAAAAAGAGGAAGTAGATGGAAGAAACAAAGACGTTTCACAGTCTCCCTTTCAGGAATTTTGCTGTAGGAATCAAGAAACACAAACTATATTTCACACTCTTCTACTTCAAAAGAAAAGGTACTGGAAAGAATAGATACTGCCTTCTCACGCAGCACCTTTCTCTCTGTTTTCTACTTTTATTGTGAATCAGACCCAGTCCAGTTTCCTGTTAGACTTTGTGCCCAGAGCCTTAAAAGCAGTAACATCACCTCTTCCAAACATGCATGACTTGTTAGACAGCAAAAACCTGCCTGAACCCACAGAAACAGAGCAGACATTTGACAAATATCTTCAAGGTTTTGGGGGAAATCTATTTGGACAAACAGAGGCTAGGGAGTTAGCATAGTTTCACAGTGCATGTTTATATGATGCTTAGTGTGATCACCAGCACAGTTTGCAGGTTTCATGCTGTAGAAACATCTTGAGCTTGATGAGGGATGTTCATACTGGAATAGCATGTGCCCCATATTGAGATTCAGTATCGTGTAAAATACTACGAGCGTGCACTTATGCATGCTTTACTTTAAACAGAGAAAAATAAAGATGTGCAAATTAATAAATAGTGATTACCTCAGAGCAGCAGTTTTCCCATTTCTGTGAGTACATGTGACCTGCCTGGTTTGGTACCCAATTTGTATGTCCCAATATTTGTTCTCCTGTCTATTCTGTCTGTTTCGATTCCTCTTCTTCTTAATTAACTCACGAGCCTCGGGATCCCGAACTGCCTTTTCTCTGTCCTTTTCCTTGTCTTTGTTCTTCCCTCGTTTCCTCGCTTGCCTTATTTGTCTCGAATGGGGCACTGAGCATGCGCTCCAGGGTCCCACATTTAGGCTATACAGGCTTTCTTCAGCAGCACATGGGCTAGACTGACAGATCTGAAACTCGGTGAGGTTAGGACAAGCTGACCCACCGAACTGCGGTGGAGCCACAACATGCCGAGTTCGATGCTGAAGCCCGTTGCCGCAGGTCTTGGAGCACTCTGACCAGGGGGCAAATTCGGCCACGATGCAGTCCTGCCGGCACGGGATGAGGCACGCCTGCTCCTGGCGGGGCTTCGGCTCAAAGTACTCACAGATGACATCCTCAGCCGGCACCCCGTTGGACTTCTGGATGCAGGTGATGTCCCTTGTCTGGATCCCTTCCTCCCCTCTGAGGCACTCCAAGGGCTTCTCGTGGCTTCGGGAGAGGACAGGCTGGCACTGGTTCCAGCTACCGATCTGCCAGTCGTACAGCTCCTTGTGCCAGTCACAGACCCGAAAACAGCTCTGCTGGTTGTCTGGCCGCTCTGGCTGCTTGCAGTTCGTGGGCAGCGTGGTCCAGCCCTCCACGTGGGCACACCACACCGCTCGCGTCTGGATGCCACCTGGACCGCATTCATCTCCCATGCATCTCCCCCATGGACCTGGAAAACAAGAGAAGATGCTAACATTGCACACTTAATAGTTTTTCTGCCATGGTGCAAAACCAAGCCCACAGAACCAGTTTTGTGTTTCCTGCATCTTTAAGAATTTAATTCTTGGAGAAACTTGAACTTGGAGAATGCAAAACAAGCACGAGATTATTCTTCATCTCCTATTTTTATGAATACAGATACATTTTGCTTTTTGTCCTAGACAAATTGAATATTTAATTTCAAGAACATACACAGGAATTAATCACAAAGTCATCATGTATTTTTGATTTACAAGATAGGAGCCAAAGTCCTCCCCTCCAAGGCATGAATGTAATCTTCTCTCTCATGTACATGAATACCCTTTCTTGGACTGTTTTGGTTTTTGCTTCTCATTTCTACTGCACAACTCTTTAGACCCTGATGCCAATTAATATTGCATTCTGTTCCTTCCATGTGTTAAATAATGACAACAACACATTATGTTTTGAAAAATAGAGGTAATTTCAGGTAGGCCATTTCTTTCCTTTGTTATAACTAAAATAAAAATTAAAGCCCAGTTAAGGAGTGTGTGTTCCACACAATCTGTGGATTACAGAATAAGTTCTTGAAGGCAGAGACATACCAGCTGGTAACTCTCCAAAGAACAGAAGTTATTGCTTTTTTTAAATCTCTAAGGTCTATGGTAAATACTCAACATGTTATAATTAGTGTCAACAAAACCAATAAAAACCTATATCCTTGAAAGCTGATACGGTTGCTTTTTCCATTATTAAACACTGCAATATTCAGCTGGTTCAACTCACAAAATCCACATATCAGAGGATAAAACACGTGTATTTTTAGGTTTTTTAAGATGTCCCCTCATACACACCACGCATTGACTTAGTGTGAAAGAGGAAAAGAACAAGCAGTTCAGAAAAAACCCTGTGACCGTTTCCCAAAGAAAAGATGTCTATCTGCAGACAGTTGGTCACACAGAAGACAGTTTCTGTGACTGTGGAGTGCTGATGTTCCATGAAGAAATTGGGGCCAGGCCACGCAATCCTCAGTCATCTGAATGACCCCAGTGACAAGACTCTTTGTGTGAGCAAAGTTGCCGGAGGTGCTGGGCTGAACCTTTGTTATTTCCAAAGCAGGTTAATAAAATAATTCTGGTACTGCACAAGAGTAAGTTAAACTATGGCAGGTACAAATTATTTACAACACTTTCTTATTAAATGACTGGAAAGAATATGAGGCCACGTCTTATTACTGATTCACACGGACTTTAAAACTCTCACCGACTTCAACACAATTTTCAGCTGTTCATCCAACATCAACTTCAGTAGCAGTTTGGGAATGGGCTGGTGATAGACTATACACGCAGCCTCTGCTCCTCATTGCCTCTTTTTTAAGTGGACACTGCGGCTTGAACCGTTTGTAGTTCAAAAATCCTAAGTATTAATACTCTGTAAGCAATGCCAGCTGGCAGAAACCTATTCAGCCCATGGAAACTCCTTCGTATTTTTTTGCGGATTAAGTTTGAATTAGGGTTTCCAAGGTTTAGCTAGCTATCCAGAAAAATAAATGTATATTAAATACAAATACATTTCAGTTTCCATTTCAGCAACATTACCCTACTTTATCTCTAACCAGCCTTCCACAAATGACATAATCATTGTTGTATTTAATTTAGGTGTATTTACAGGGAATTAAGAGATATCATTTCCCCAGAACACCACCTGAATACTTGCCAACTTTAAAAGAATAAAGACTGCAGAAAATGTCCAACTAAAGCAGAGATACTAAAATGATCATGATTGAAATAAAGCTAAATCATTCATCTTGAAAACTATAAATTTCTGTCTTATCGGATCACTGCACCTTGCGTATATTATGTGGGTTCAGTGAAGAAATCCCTCTTTTTAAAGATCAGGTCTTTACTGTAATCCAGACAAAGAGTTTGTCTATTTGGGATTCTACCAAATTTCCAATTGTCAATTATCCAAGAAATCACATTGTACCTAAAAATTGTGCTTGACATCTAAATATATTCAATCCAATTCACTGACATGTTTATACTAATGCAAATGATAAAAATCTCAGCCTCAATATACTAACTACTGCCTCTGGCAATGTAAATATAAAAAATCAAATCTGCACGTGATTGTGATAATTGGTCAAAATAAGCTCTTTCATTAGATTACAAGAATGTTGTTTTTAGAACTGGATCCAAGGTAACAATCAGGTGCACAGATAGGCTCATGATTATTGAGCTGATTATTTTGCTTTTGCTGTGAAGTAGAATGCAATTTTATAAAAGCATTGCCAGTGAGTACCAACAAACCACATTTATATGAACATTTGAGCAAACTACTACTCAGCACCTCTAGGTTCATGTAGCTGTTGACACAGAGCTATTAGTGATGTATCTGACCCTCTCCCTTACCTACAAAATTTACTACTATCAAAATTTAAGCTTTTGGTGTACTTGTAGCCTTGTACTCTAAATTTGGGGGGAAGAAGAGAAATTGTCATTTTGTTACTGTCTTTAGCTTTTAAAAAAAATTAAAAATTATATATTTCTAGCAATATGAACAGAAACTTGCTTTGATCAAAATTATTCTGAGAAATATATTTTTTTTTCTTTTGAAAACAATTTCTGGTATCCACATAACCAATACTTCTGTCAGTTTTCAGTTGCACACTGCTTTGAAATCTTGACTTAAGTTAGCCACATTTTCTTGTAGGGTCACAAGTCACTATTGTTAACGTCAAGCACTTGCTGAGGAACATTGTTGTCACACATTCTTTATATGGGCTTCACGAAAAAAGGGAGAGAAGCTCCTCTGCAATTCCCTTTACAGCTACCCATCTCTCTCTACCAATTATAAAAAGAGCCTACAATAATTCACTTCTAACTTAAGTGGCCCCAAACACATTGCAAACATCAAGGCAAAACATGGTTCTTATTTGAAAATGATCACAGAAAAGCAGGAAAAGAAATGTCTCTGAACTGAGTAAAGGGGCTTTGTGACTTCATCCAAATAACAAGAAATGCATCCCAAAGTAGTCCTAATCCACTGTCAATTTTTTTTCTCATTGCCGCAAACTGAAGAGAAAGCACCCAGTACATCTTTACAATATTTCTTTGCCTGCTGGTCAAGACATCACTGAAAATACAGAATGAAAAAACAGTGAAGGCAGAGGCTTTGAATGACCTTCAGAAGTATGACAAAACCACATGCAGATCACCTGCAACATGCTTTTCATGTTACATCATTATTATGGGCAGTACATTTACCACAACATTTGTAAACGTGAAATTTGGGGGTAAAATTAATCTCACAGAAACTAGCGTAGCATAGATGTGCAACTCGCCAAAGATGCCAATGTAAAGAGTCTCACCCACCACCATCACTTGGGGCAGCTGCTCTCTTACAAATCCTCATGTAACGACAACAGAAAGTCTTTAAGAAAGCCGTCAAGCCTAATCAAAGCCTCATATGATGTTTTAATTTGCTCTTTATGAACATTCTTTAGGTTGTCTCTTTCCCACTGAAGCAGTTCTCACGCAGACGCTCTGCTCTCCCTGGTGTGCACTGATCCAGCTACGCCTGGGCAACGGGAGGTACCTGTGCTCAAACCGTTTCGCACTAGGGGAAAAAAAAAAGCTGCTGCTGTGAATGCAAAGTAGGTTTTCTTTGGATTTTGATTTAAACATATTTAGATGAACGAGTCATAGTTTACCTGTAGTGAGCTCTACGCGTCTCATGAAAATACCATAATTTATCTGCTCTTTGTTTAATCAGCGTATTACAAATGGCAGTTACAGAAATAAACAGGAAGCTTGCTTCTTTTTTGTTGTTGGGAGTTGTCACTGAAGTCTTAGTGAGTTTACAATGTCATTTGTAATTCTTTGTCTTCTAAAGAGATTACTGTAAAATACAATATTAAGATTCCCTCTAAGCTTCTGGAGGATTAACATTTATTTTTGTTAGGGAGCAGGAAAGTAAGTGAATTAACCATTACTGCAAGTTTACTCCAAAATTTCAGGGAGTGATCACAATGGAGACAAATATCAAGACAAAACCCTCACTAAAGCACTGATAGAACAGAGTAAGTTACTGTAGTATTTAATATCTTACATATCAACATTGTTTCAGGTATTAAAATTATCACTATTTGAAGAAGAAAAAACTTATTTTGAACTTTGACCTAGGGCAAATAATGCTATGTGAAAATCCCTTGAACTCCCAACTATCCCCAAACATAAAACTCAAAACATGTCTTAAAACATCGAGCAAGACATTACTCCCATTTTTAACAACTGAGGATTGCACCACTGATTTAATCTGAATTTTGTTGTACTTTCGGTGACAACTGGTTTTGACCCATTTTACGTTACGGGTTTGGTGCGTGTAAGTAGCATTAACAGTTTAATGCCAGAGAGAGATATTCGGACTGCACAAGACAATGAGCAGCTTAGTTTTCAGTATTTTGAGAGGATTGTATTTAAAGAGACTATTGAGAGACTGATTAGCAGAAATCTACTTTTCCCAAGTTCAGAAACAAGCTGACCTTATTGGAGACCTGAAATTTCTTTGTATTATGAGAGGGTTGTGACGGGGGCCGTGAAGGTTAACTGAGTGATACAGGGCTGAGAGTCAGAAAGGACACCAGCATTACAAGATACAGTTCAAGCCTAAGCAGTAAATCTGGAGAGAGGTTAAAAAGACACAGATCAAGAAGTCTTTGAAGGACTCGGGAGATGGCAGTGAATGCAAACTGCAGCTCCCGATAGCGGAGCCGGTCAAGGAGCAGGATGAACAGCAGGCCATCGAGAATATAACGGCCTCAGAGCTGCCGCCAAAATTACTTGCAGACCCGCTTGGCTAAATTAAAATACGATAAGAATGTCTATAACTTGGTACAGTATACCTGTATTATCTATATTTGCTTTACACAATTATGGCAGCAGCAGTTATTTTTCCTTTGCCGCAACGGAGTATTTTTATCATAGGCAGTAG